ATAGAGCCGGGGTTCCTGAGAGAAGAGGGTGCCCTGGGTGGGCTGGCTCAGGGTGACTGCAAGAAAGAGTACGTTTATCCCAGCATGGATGTGAATTTTATCCCCTACACAAAGAAAAACCACTAAAGATGTCCAAAGAGATAAGATATGCTGGGCAGTGGCACAGTAAAGAGGAAGAAGAGGAGGTGAACAGAGAAGTCCACAGAGACCTCCAAGGTCCCAGCATTGATCCAATTCCAGGGGAAATGGTGTCCAAGATGAAAGGTCCAAGAAAAGTTGAGGCAAGCAGACTGAGGAATGACATGCAAATACTCAAGGCCCCTTAGATTTGACCTTACTGGTCTATCCAGATGAAAATACGGGTCTGAAGTTGAGTTGAGAGATCAGGATAGATTCAGAACTCATACAGTGTGGGCGAGCATGGAAGCCCAGGATGTGCCCAGGTTCAGCCAGGAGAGTTTAGAGCGCGAGGGAAAGAGGGCTAAGAGTGGGATTACAGGGGTCATAGGGTGAGACTTAGAATGAAAAAAGGAAAGGAGTGGTGTTAGTAATACAGATGGAAGAGAACTAGGGAAAGGAACATCTGGGAAGTCAATAGAGAAAGCCAGGAAAGACCAGCTGTGCTTAAGCTGAAAGAAGGTCAAAACATATTTAGGAGAAAAAATAAAACCCACCGTATTCCTTTTATAGCTGCTTAAAAAACAAGGCAAAATGCTTTTCTGAATTTTTCTCTCTGTCTTATTATGTACTGGCTGCAAATAAAAAGTAAAACAATTCCTGAAGAGAATATTAGTTCCCCCTATTCCTAAGAACTCAAAGGCAACATTTAGTCTTCCTGTGGCTCCTTTTTTAACAACACAGTGTGCCATTTAATAACACAAGCTTCATTCTGCTGAAACTTCACCCAATATGCCACTTTCCCACTCAAAGAACCCTGTATTACTCCCTGTTTTTATAGCATAAACTAGAAAATCTTTTTCATTGGCATTAATGATCCTTCTTATGCAAACTATGATCTCATATTCTCTTATAGGAATATTTCTTTTGTCAATTCACTGTGTTCATCAGTACTTGATATAATTATCTCTACTCAAAACAGAAGCAACAGAAGCCGTGCTATGTTGATTTCCATACATCCTTGAAGATTTAATTGAAGCTCCTTTACTACAAGTGTGCAGTCTGGCTTCCTATAGTTATTGTTTGATATTTATCCAATTAGAGGACCATAGACTTGAGCTTGACTCCTAAACTTCTTTTAGAAACATCTCTGGATCTCAGTTCTCCAATAAGTGAGTTGAGATGATTTTTATGGTTCTCAAACTCCAAGACCATATGATCCTTTGAGCTACATTATGTGCATAGCTGAAGAAATAGGAGTCTCTAAAAGAAACAGAGAAAAACCAAACCATGATACCATGCACACATGAACAAGTACACATATGCACACACTCACACATACATTTCAGTAAGAATAAAATGGGATATGTTACCAAAAAATCAATGTTTGGTGTTAAGACTTCTTCAACAATGACTGTGCATTTGGGAAAGAACATGGGGTGGGGGTGATGCGGACAGTCATGCACCAGTTCCAGCATTTCTTAAAATTTAAACCTGAAGTCCAGAACCAACTTCCACTTTTGAAAAACACTGTCAGTAAAACAAAGCTGAGGTCCCATTATCTGACTCCAGTGACCTCTCAAGTCTCCAGCCCTCACTCTTGCAAGCTTGGTATATATTTAGGACAATATTTAAGCCACTCTTTTTCAGGTTATGCCGTATTTGGAGTAAGCGTTGCATTAGAAACCAGCAAAGAAGACTGAGTCAGTTATAAAATCCTATTTTGTGACCAATAGGGGAATGGTTCCTTCATTAATCACATAAAAGGTGAGTTTTTACCTGGACAAGAGCAAGGAGAAGACCCCAGAGGAAATGGAGCATCAACAGTGTAGTCAAATATGTAAAAGCTGTCAGACAACTACCATTTACTATGACTCACAATTACCCTGTATCAGGCAGGATACTGAGAATTCAGCATGTGTCTCTCCCAATCCTACAGACATGGGATTTGTCCCATGCTTCATTTTTTAGTCTGAAAGGCAAAAACATGCAAGTAACTTGACCAAGACCATGCTGCTAATCATTGGTAAAGCCAACATGTATATCCAGGCTATTTCTAGAATTGTCATTTATGAATTAAGTCTATATTACAGACCTTAGAATATAGAACTGTGATGAATTTATTAACAATCTGAATTTTCCAGTGATATGCTCTAATGGTGCAAATCTTCAATGCATATTTTCAATGGCATGCATATTTTCAATCAATTGAAACTTCAAGAGCTACCTCACATTTAGGGGTCTTTGCTGGTGGCTTTGTGTTCATGTATGTATCTTTTCTCTCCAAATGAAATGTAAGACTCTAAGGGGTATGGATAATGTCTTATCATTTTCCATGTTCTTTCCATATAGTTCCATGTACATAATAAGCACAAATATTTGTTGGTTTTGAAATACTTTCCCCTGGCGAGCCTTTCAGAACAGGCCGATTATCTCCCCTCTGTGATGTTGAACATGAAGGCTATGGAACAGATTGATGACTCCTAAAGCTCTCTTCCAGGGCTGCGATTTGGTAGGGGACAAAAATAGACAGGAAAAAGCACCAACATCCTTATGTCCTTCTGTGGCACAGTTGGAGAGCGCTATGCCAGGATTTCTGATTTTAAAGGTTGTATTTTTTTTAAAAAAAGATAAAATGAAGCTCTGAGCAATTCTCAAAATGGCTTATTGATCATGTCACCAAGGCCTTCTAAACCCCACCCTGGATATATAAGAAATATCAAGTTGGTGTTGAAAAAGGCGCTGGCCTTTCTGATGGGCTCAAGGATATAACAGACATAACAGCAAGCTGTCTAAATATTTCTAGACTACAGCATTCCAAGACAAGAGAAGAGGAGCAATCATAAAGATTTTACCAAACAATTGTTAGTAATAAGAACACATCTGAAAAATAACAGGGAGATTGGAGTAATAGTTCTCAAATATCAGCTAGATTGTTGGAAACACTTTGAAATAGTTATGTTGCTTCCAAACAATGGCAATTTGATATTATAAATAACACAGTGTAATAGTTTTGAAGCAAAATCTAAGGGGGTCACTTACCAATTGACTTCCACACTTGGATGTATTACTGTTCTATTTTTGTGGCTAAGTCAAAGTACAAAAAATATCTTTGAGTCATGAAAAGAAAAGTGTAGATTAATGATAATAACCCTCAAAGCCTACTCTTGACAATTTAAAAATAGTACATTGTACACAACCATTTTCACCCAATGGCAAAAACATGATTTGAAGAAAAGAAAAATACATACCCTTATTTCACTAGAAAAATGATGAGACTCCATCGTCTCTGAAAACATCAAATGATCCTATAATATGAAATGTGGTTGATTTTAAATCTGTAATCTTACCCTCATCAAATAAGACAGAAACCTAATGGCCAAATAAACCATATACAAATTAGAAGCAACTGCAGCTTACTGGCTGCCCTTCTCCAAACGCCAAAGCTGTCCTGGTCCTACCAAAGACATCCACTGCCTATGATCCTATGCAAATCAAGGTCCTCGGTTCTTAGGGCCTCTCCTGCCAAGTTCTATGCACACAGTTATAGCCCTAACGTAGCTGTCACTTTAGAGCATAACTATCTAGGACATCCTTCCTTGCAATTCCATGATGTACCTCACTTGCCAAAGCCTGAATTTCTCTAGTCTATGCCGGTCAGTAACCTGTTGACTTGCCTTTCTCACTCATGTTAGAAATAACCAGAGTTAGGATATAAGGAAGCTCACAATGCAGAGCTGCCTGTAATAAACATTCAGCTTTCTGTCAGTTTAAAATGTCTTGGTGGGCTGTCCTGTGGCCTGTCCTTTATGATATTGTTTCTGCAAAGAACTGTGAAGAATTCCAACCAACTAATTTTGGAATAGATACCTACAGCATACCCCATTCCTAAGCCAGAGACCATGCATAACAATACTCACTCAAAATAAGCAGCAGGAGCTGAAATTACAGAATTGAAAATATTCTACCAGGGAAAGAAGAGGAACTAAAATATTGAGAATGGATATTTAATAGTTGTAGCTACAGAAAGAGAATGCCTATTGGCCAAACAAAAAAATTAAGAAGTCTTTTAGGTGCAACTACTGGCTCATAATGCTGCCATGGGAATTTTATAAAATGCTTACATTGCAGGCTAACTGATCCCACACTCCTCCTATGGCTTAGGAAATTATTCTGAGAATATAATATCTGTTGTATTTAGAATGTCCTCTCAGCTTTATGCTAAAAAGCATGTCAATACTGCACATTGGCAGTAACCAAAAAGAAAGAACACGAGCAATGGCAAAATCACTCATAATTCTGCTTCTAAAAGGAAGCACTAGGGGGAAAAACAAAAATAACAAGACAAGGGCTCAGCACTAACCTGGTTGGAATTGAAAGGGATCCACTTAAGGTCACAGTTGTGTAGAACACATGAACTCATAGACCAAAGGATTTGGAAGCCATTCCTCTTTGACTTAATACTGTAAGAGTGTGCTTCACCGTGGGAGCCCTTGGGGGCTCTCCCTTCTCTGCATCACATGTGGGGGGTCATCAATAATGGAAATTAGCTGATTGTGAGATTAACAAAGACAATCTAGTAGATGCTAACCAAGGGCTAACATGGTTCTGACAAATTACAATGGAGTCTCTACTTTAGGGCAGCAGGATGTCACTCTGGGGGATTTTTTCTATCAGCCAAAGTATACCTACCTAGACCTTTGTAGATGTGACCTTCAATTAAGGCAACGATTTCCTCATTACCCATTTTCTACAGGCTTATTTTACAGCGATGCTCCCAGGGAGATTGAAATGGGAAAACTCAGAAGGAGCAAGAAAAGGGATTTTGAAACCAGAATAGTCATTATAGTCTCCAGGGTAGAAAGGTGGACTGTTAGGAAGCCTTTATAAAACTTTATTTTATTTATACTTTTTCCAAGAGCAGCCTTCACAAAGGGATGTGGTTGTCAAAATTGCAGCAAATATATCTTTTGTTGGATAGGTGAAGAAGCTCCAGTCCAAATCCCCCCCTTGTGTGTTGGGCCAGCATGTGGCTGAGGAATATTTTTATGTTAGCAAAAAAAACCCACCTCCTGGACTTCATAATATTGAGAATGTTTGCTGTAACCACAGCTTCATCAGTATGATTCCATCCAATAACTCTATGAAGAAACAGAAATTGCCCAGAAGCCTTCTTCTCAAAAACATGATACTCTCTGTGTAGAGCTTCTGAGCTCATGAACAAGTTGGCAATTAAGCTCAAGATTGTCTGAAAAATATTGTGAAAAAGTAATACACCACTGGTACTGAAGCCGGGGATAACATAAAAGATCCACTGCCAAATTGTGTCATGATTTGTCTTCCACTTGATTTACTGCCAACTTCCCTCCATTCTTCATCTTCTCTTCAGATCTGGGAAAGAAACAGGAGAAACTCAGACCATGGCACATCCTTTCTCCCCCAGCAAAGGATTCCAGAAAGGCAGCCTGTCCCCAATAGCACAACAGCCCAAGATCAGAGAAACAAAGAAGAACAACCATGCTTTGACCCACATTTGTTCAATAAATCTTTTTCCTTAAATTTTTAATTTAGTTAGCTCCCAGAGATCCTCCATGAAATACACACTCATGCTCTCCACTGACTAAGAATGCACCCTTGCTTTATACTTGAGAAAAAACAGGCAGAAGAGTTTGGGCAGCCAGACTTTGTGTGTGTCCTGTGGTTTCTTTGCTTTGTTTTCCTTTGTGGTGTTGGCCATCCCCTGCTATTCCTCCCATAATGCTTTATTTTGTTATCATATTTCTTCCTGAGAGCTACAAGGCATGCAGATAGACATGGGATGTGGCCTCCATGTCTGCTCCAGACTTTCATGGGCTGTGTGAGGAATACAAACTGTTCACAAAGGAAATGGGCTGTGAAGAAACGGGCTTCACAATAGCCACTGTAAAGATGCCCAATCCACACATCCATGGGCAAGCCCCCTCTCCTGCTGATTGTTTTAAAAGTAGAATCACTCATTTTTACAACGGAGAAGATCTTGAAAATCACTTAATTCAACACTTGCCTTTTACAGATAAAAAAAACTGAGAGCCCAAAGGAATGAAGCAAGTGGTGAATTCCACAGTACTATGTCCTTCAACATCCACTATTGTGTATAATTTAGACTCTCTCATACCAGGAGCAGGGTTTAGTCTCCCTTGACTCAGTTTCCAGCTCTGTACCCTCTCAGTGCCTCAAAGTGGTTGATGAAAAAATCTACCATATACATCCACATTTTCCTATCAGACAGCTGGATACAACCAACATGATGACCCATAGGTCCCCACACCATGAATGGACTGTGCTGCAGGCCTCCCTGCAGTTCATGTCTGCCTGCTCCAGACCCACCAGTTAGAACTCCACATAGGGAACCTGTCTGGAATGCCCTGGATTCCAGTGAAGACTTTTGCCATAGGTCTGTCTTGTTTCTCTAATTCCCCACACACGGGGGAGACATCTGTGTCCCTGACAGCTCTCCCTTCCTTTCCAATCGCTCCTACACACACAGCCCTCTTCTCACTGGGACCTGTGAGCAATAAAATGCTTGCCCACTCCCCATGTTTGTGTAGCTGCCTTGTCCGGGTCTCACCTGACTGACACACCCAAACCTCACTTCCCTCTTAATCAGTGTCCTCCTGGAGAGGAACCAGCTTGGTAGGAATAAATTGAACCGCAGAGTAGAGCCAAAAGGGCATGTGCCTCGATAAACAAGTTTCCCATATGAAGGACATGTGGTCACAGTTATGTAGGCATCAGGCTACGTCACAAGGTAAAGAAGAACCTCAGGAAGGGAACACTCTAAACACCCATGAGCACTTCTCCAGGAGCCCCATCTCTCCAGAGAGACACTTCGAGATGCCCTGAGAGGAAAATGCCACAGAGAAACACGTTTAGAACTGAAGTGAGTCTTGGTGGAGCCAGACCTGATCTCCGCACACAGTGCTAGACAATTAGGTGGTGCTTTCTGTTGCACACTTTCACAAGTGAGATCTCATCCTGGTTCCCATCCTCATGTAAACATGTGTTCTACATTTCTCCCAAAAAGAAACAAATAAGTGAACCAGCACCATAAGCATGTGTGGACCTGTTCCAAATATAACTCAATACAGACAAGTAATTATTTTGTTCCAAGAGTCCTAATACAGCTCAAGAAAAACATCTCACACAGGATCTGCAGGGGAAGAGGCCATTGCAAGCCTTTCCTTCTGTGATGTAATCGCTGCTGTATGGTGAAGTGCATCCCTAGATGCCACCAGACACACTTCCTTGAAAAGTTTACCTTTGTTGATGAAACACTTGCTGTCTCATAAATGATTCTTAGGCTATGTGTGTGAAGAGTCCCTCAGTCTTCATTTCCCCTTCAAAGTTGTTTAGAATTTCTGGACCCAGTGGTATACCCTGATCCCACTTTGTATAGTTGCTTATTCAAGTATCTTCATGAGAATCTTCTAGAAAGTTCCTTATCTTTAAAAACCTTCCCCACTTAGTTAATAATGACACCTAAAATGAATAAGTATTGGATTCTTCCAATAATAAATTTCTTTATAGGCCTTTGTTGGGTGACAAGGAAGAGATAATAAAAATTAGGGACATATATCCAAACGGAGATGGAATTAAAAATAAACTCTCACCTGCATTATAATTTTACTAACAACTGATTCCAAATGAAGTACTAGCCTTAAATTCTGAAATAAAAGCTAGAGACACATGCTATTCTCTACAGCTGGACATTTAGAAATAAGAAAAAATAGACTAAAAACAAAGTAAAATCAAATAAACATCACATATGAACATGAACCATAAAAAACTAAGAGCCAGAAGTTTCATATATTCTCATTTGAAAATAATTAACAATAATAAAGGAGCAGGCATCTGTGTGTACTGCCAGCTGTACATCCTTTCCCCTTACTTCTAGTTGTAGCATCCGTAGAGTCCTTCTCTCTCCTGTTGCTTCTCTGCCTTCCGGCTCATTTGTCCTCGGCCTGCAGCCATATTGGGTGGATAAGTGTGACCCATCTCCTGGATTATCAGCTAGTTCAGGACTGGGGATATCATCCACACTCCTCATCATTTCATTAAGATAATCACATAATTCCAGGGGGAGAGCACCCTGCCACCTCAGTAGTTTCTCTGTGATCACGACCTTGAAGGACCACTTAGGCATGAAGCTGTTAATGCCTTTGACCCTGCCTAAAGAAGGCCTGATTGAGAATAAAGTCAACTCAGATGAATCACAAATGACATTCCCATTGATTAGCATCAGCTGAACCTTGGGTTCCCACTATGCATGAAGCAAGGTCTACCCCCTTGTCTCCCAGTTATGATGAATAAATCATTTGTTTGTTTAACTTAATGCAGCTTGTGTTTCTTAATATGCAAGGAACAAACCCTGACTACCACTCCTTCATGTATTTTTGGGATGCTTCTTCTTAAATGTGACATGAAAGTTGCTGCCTTACATCTATATAATAAGAGATAGTCCCTTGACATTACCAGGACTAATGTCAAATACATAGATACTAGAGTTAATCTACTTAAGATATGTAACTCTTTTGAAGTTCAGAGCAGACCTTCTCAAACCAAAATCCAAAGAATCTCAAAAATCAAGAAGATAAGACTTTGCTTTGGTAGATTACATTAAATGTGACTATATTCAACTACATCTACTCCACGCCTCAACATCACTACTAAATCTGTGAAATCACAAAGGGTTTTAAAATCCAGAAAAAGAACTAAAGTAAGGAAGGTGCCTTTGCATACCAGACTAAATATAACAGCATCATATGAATGTAAAGACTCTATCTGACCTCATAAAACACAAGACAATGGAAATTGCTGTGAATTTCCAAAACAATAGACCAGTTGTGTTGTTCAAGCATATTGTATTATAAGGTTGTAATTTCACCTACTCTAAGATACAGACCTAATTTAAAACATTCATTTCCCATATTCATTCCATTGCAGAATTGCTGCACAACTACTAGATTTGAACTCTCAATGTGCCTCTTGGCCTGCCTATGGCATGGGGGGGGAGTGGTTTTAGCGGGTAGTAATCCCCAGGTCTGCTTTGCACCCTGAGAATGCACGTTATAATTAACAAGTCCTGGTGTGAATTTGTCTTTTTTTTTTTTTCTTTTTGCTTTGTATTTCAAAATACAAACCAAGATATTTTGCTTCATTACCTGTTACACTGCAACTTTGCAGTCTCCACTTTTGCATTCTATTCTTTTCAGTTTCATTTTTTCTTTTCTTTCTCTTTTTTTGAGGAGTAAGGCACCAAGACAATCTGATGGTTTAACATCATAAATTGAAGGCAAAAAGCTTTATTGGAAAGAATGCCCACTGGGAATCTACCCAGTTCATTTGAATCAACTATTAAGGAAAGAAGTTCCATAACTTTTTTAAAAAAAAATTCTCACGTGTAACTATGAAAATGTGTTAAATAATGACATTGGATCTAGACTTTACAAAACAGAGGGGGTGTTTTAGTTGTATTTCCCATGAATTATCCAAGCCTATTAGTGTGTGGATATTTGCTCAAGGCTATATGTAAAAGTTTTAACTTGTCTTGCTCATCTCTAGGAGGATAAAGGCCAAACAGGAGAACGGGAGAAGAAGAGGAAGGCATTGTTATCACAAAGAGTTATTTAGAGAGACATTTTGCCTGCATGATATCAGACACATTCATCAATTTGTTGTAAATAATGGTTAGAAGAACTCCTTTTCTCAAAAAAGCATTGACTGAACATCTACATTGAGTATCTCAAGCTGAAATAATACTAGTGGTATTATTACATTGCTACCTCATTCTGAGGTAAGCAGACTTTCATGAGCTGCATGAATAACTAGCCAAATTGCAAGGAAAACATGTTCTATGTAAAAGGCACTCCTAGCTCATGCTTTCAACTTACAAAATTATCAAAGCAATGGCAAAAAATGACAACGGGGTCTTTTGACCAGCGGAGTCTTTTGGCCAGCAGGGTCTTTCACTCCAATTCTCACTGCTCTCTAGAAATTCCCACCACCTCTCCCACACCCCTACTCTAAGCACATGAAGTACTTCACCAAAAAATGGATGAGTGGAGAGAAACTGTCACCAACAAAAGTACAACAAACCTATTTGCCCTTACACCCGCCAGCTCCCCTCTTACTCCTGCTGTAACAGAAGCTGTTGCTCCTCAGATCCAGAGAGAACTACCCAACCAGGTGCTAGACTGCATCTCCTCTTACCTTCTCAAGTGATTTCCACCCTGGTTATCTTTTCTGCACCTTCATCTCAACATTTCCCCAACCTAGGCTATACCCATCAGTGTTCACAATGTTCAATAATTCCCCATCATAAAAGCCAACGAAGGTCAACTACCTTCTACATCTCTCCTTTCTAGAGCTATTATTTCTTTCCTTTCCTTTCATGGAAATTTACACAGAGAATTATCTCTACTCATGGTCTCCATACCTTTGTCTTTTATTGACTCCTTGGCCCATTCCAATCTGACCCATAATCCTGTTCTTCATTCCAACAAAATTTCTCAGTAACCACCGCACCACCAAATCCAATTCACTTCAGTAGTCATCCAGCCAGAACTGTATTATTTGTTATAATTCATTCCCCAAAGGCCTATTTGCAAAAGGCTTTGCTGCTGACCTGTGGCTCTATTGGGAGGTGGTGAAACCTTACAGGAAGGAAGTTAGGTCAGGAGTGTGTGCCCTGGAAGGGGACAGGGAGACCCTGGTCTGTCTGTCTCTGTCTCTATCTCTGTCTCTCTCTGCTATCTCACACCAGGAGGTGATCAGGCCTCTTCTGCCACACATTCCTGATGCACTGTGCTGCCATGGGCCCAAAGTAGTGGGGCCAAGTGACTATAGACTGAAGTGTTTGAAACTATGAGCCCAAATAAACCTTTCCTCTTTCTAAATTGATTATCTCAAGTATTTTGTCAGAGTGATAGAAAGCTAACTAACACAATATTCAACTGTTGTCCAAAACTTCCTCTTGGAAAGTTCCCTTCTTTCTATTTAGCTTTTAGTGCTATAAATTTTCCTGGCTTTCCTTCTTACTCTGCAGCTGCTCATCCTCCAACTTTTATAAGTTCTTCAACTCCCTGCCCTTAGTCTTTTCCAATTTCCTGAACAATTTCATCCATTTCTTCTACTTCAGTTGCTATTACCTACATATCAGTGACTCATAAACTTATAATCTCCAAGCCAAATAACTCCGCTGTATTCTTAACTTGTTTGATTGCCTCAGAAGAACTAGAAAGTAAAACCAAGATGCAACCAAGCTCATGATCTTCCTTCCAAACTGGCATCTAGTGTCCCTTGCCTACATGAAGGATATCACTACCCACCCAGTTGTGAAAGCTTGACTCCTCAGGGTTATTGAAAACATCCTCTCCTTTACTAGCATACATCTGACCTCCTGTCCTGTTCATACTCTGGAAATCTGTGTAGTGTGCATCCTTTCCCAAAACCTATGAACAGTCCTTGTGCCTGCTCCTGTGTAGATTTGATGATAGCTACTTCACACGTGGTCTCCTCACTTCTCCCTTTATACTCCTAGCCCATTCTCCATGCTGTAGCTAAGAATCTAAAAACTAGAAAATAAAATTAAATCCTAGAAGGATAAATTAAACAATCCTTAACTGTGCTTTTGAGGTCTTCATTTGATATAGTAGGAATTATTTTATCGACTTCTTTCAAAATCCCGAGAGGCTGGGGATTTAGCTCAGCGGCAAAAGCGCCTGCCTGGCATGTGCAAGGTCGTGAGTTCGGTTCCTGGTACCGGAGAAAAACCAAAAAAAAATAAATAAATAAAAATCCCTTAAATTTTTAGTTCTCTATACAAAACTATGATTAAATTTTAAGATTGTTGAAAATTTATTTTAAAGATCATTTTATTTGAAGATAGTCTTTTAGAAATGTGTTCTTCCACATGATCTTGTTATTGGTTTGCTGAGTGTTTCCTTCAGTTAATTTAACTTTCTTAATTTAAAATAACTCAATAAACTGAGTGGTGGTGCATGCCTGTAATCCCAACACTCAGAAGGCTGAGGCAGAAGGATCACACAGAGTTTAAAACCAGCCTGGGCTACATAGTCAGCTCAAGGCTATTCCAGACTACATAGTGAGGTCTTGTCTCAAAAAAATGGAAAAAAAGTAATTCAATAAAGATAAAAAAAAATTATTTTTTCAAAGGAGTATTGTACAGTTTTCAAAACCTTACCTCTACCCACAGACATTTGGAATTTACCAAGCGGGATTCAAAATGAAGCATTTTTCCTTTTCCTTGTTTGTTAAGGGATGCACTGTGTCATAAAACCTTTGCACTTTAACTTAGTTTCAAAATGTTTGATGACCGCCTCCTCTCCAGTAGTTGAAGATTTTCAAGGCAAGTTTTAAATGCCTGAAGTTAGGTGTTTACTTTCTTTCTCCTCTGTCAGGGCAAACTGAGGAGATAGCTGCACGAGGGCCACAGAGAGACTCTATGTGACAGGCATTAGCAGGAAGGGCCAATTTAAGAGAATTGTCTTAAAGAATACTCAAAATCCAATTTTTTATCTTTTCTCAGTTTCACTCCTTCCATTCTTACATTTCAAATGTTGGTTAGCTCCTACTGAAAATATGTTGTTTTACTGCAGCTCTGAAATACATGGATTTGATGTTTTAAAAAAGACTACATTGGATAGTTTTGAACTACCAACCTGAATCTCCATATTGCATTAATCTGAAGTACTCCGAGGAAGTTAGTGGCTCAAATGGCCTTTGGGGAGCAATGGATCTCATCTTATTTCTGACAAATTGATGAGGGCCTGATGAAAGGCGCGGAGCACTTAGCTTCCAGGCCATTGTTGGGATGGGCCAGGGCTGCAGCCCAGCTCCTGAGTGCCTAGCGCCTCCCATCTGCAGCAGCTCCTGATCTCAGCCCAGGAGCCTGGTACTGAAGCTAAGGCCTCCTCGCAGGGAACTCTGGGAAAGCAGGAGCTAGAGGAAGCCTTTCTTAGGTGAAACGTGGGTCCTACCTAGTCTGCGGACTGGTGTTATCAGAAGGAGTGATGTGTTCTTGAGACCAAAATAAAATCAGCATAGGAATACTGCCAAATTTCCCTTTCTGTCTATCACATGTTCTCGGATAAAGTCAGTCTGTCTTCTTCGCTGGGGAACTGCAGAAATCTGACACTGACCCTTTTCACCACTTAGTGGAATCCAACAGCAAAAGAAGAGATTGTTAGCAAGGACAATTTGCACTGTGCTAGCGCGCTAGCTGGCAATTATCAATCAGTGAGGGGGCTCCCGTACCCAGTACAGCGTGTGGAAACCAAGAAGTCTAAGAAAGCCACAAAGAGCTAAAATCAGAGGCAGGACTTAAACATACCTCCCCCATAGTACACAGTGCATGTCTTATTAGTTGGTCGGGGAAAGGCCGGTAAAGGCTGGTGAGCAGGAAGACAGGCGTTTTCTGTGCCTCGGCCGTTGGAGGAGCCCTTCCGGAGAACGGCGGAGGGAGCAGCGCGGCGGTGGAGCAGGGTGGGAGTGGGGCTGCCCCTCACGGGCTGCGCAGTCGGGGGCGTTAGGTGTCCTCCTGCCAGGTCTAGGCTGGGACGTGCACACTCAGCGGGGAAAGGGGAAGAGAGATTGGCGCAGTTTTCTAAAAACAACGCAGCTCCACTCTCCCGCGCGTGGCCCCTGTTCACCCCGCCCAGGCGGTTGGAACCGGCTCTCCGGCACGGTGCGGCGGCGGCCAGGTCCCCGAGGGAGGCAGGACGGGATCTGGGACTCTGGGACTACTCGGCCGCTGCCCGCGCCTGTTCCCCTTGCTGTCAACCTGCCAGGACGAGGTCTCTCCGGGTCACTCTCAGTTTGGTGATGCCCCGCCTCCTCGCAGCCGGAACCGCTGGCTGCGCTTGGGCGCGGGGAGGAAGGCAGGAGGCAGCGATCGTGCGGGCGGGAGCGAGCGTGCGGGTGACAGCCGAGCGCCTGGCTCTCCGCCGCCGCGGCCGCCTCCGCGCGGCTCGGGGATCTGCTGGGCGCGGCTGCCTCCCCGGCTCGCCCCCAGCTGCTTGCGCCCCCTACCGCCCCTCTCCTCTAGCCTAGCCTCAGACCCTTGGTGCTCCCTCCCGCCTGCGCCTGCTGGCTAGCAGAGCGAGGAGGAAAGCTCGAGGTGGGGAAGGCTCGCGGCGTCTCCAGCTGGACAGCGGGGCTGCGGGAGCCCCGACCCGAGCGGGAGCGCGGGCGCAGAGGAGAGCAGGCAGCCCGGGTCCCTGTCCCTGAGGACGCGCGTCACTGCGCCCAGCCCAGCCCTGCGCACCTTGGGCGCCCTTCCTCCCGGCCTGACCCCAGTCCTTCCGCCAAAACCTTTGACCACACTCCCCTGGCCAACATCCCTAAATCTCGTTTGCCAGGCCTTGGCACCGGGTAGGAACCAGACTGTGTTTTAGCGGTGTGTATGCAAATGGCAGTTTCCAAAAGGCAGCGACCTTTTCACCTCCCCAAGAACTCCTTGGGAGGGTTCCGGGGACAGTTTGCCCTGGGACTGCCTGATTGGTGGCCGCAGCCTGACTGTCCCTTGCATTGTCCTTGCTGTTTGTATTTGCACACGCCTCCAGCAGCAGTCCTGGGAAAGCCCTCGGGACCGGGGCTGGGGAGCTTGGCACAGGAGGAGGACGCGCAGCCGTGGGAGTAGGGTGCAGAGTGGCGGGAGCTGGCGGGCCGGTGTGCGCCGTAGCCTTTGGCAGAGAGCTGGCACTGTGGGGACCTGCCTCGACCATTTCTCCCCCGCCACTCTTCTACCTCCCTCGGGACGCACACAAACGGGGCACTCGACCGGGTTTCCAAAGCCCACGCTGGGTGGGGTGTGCCCGGGGCTTCCCTATCTGGAGCGCGAGCCACCGTCCACCCTCTCGGTTCCCTGGGTCCCAAATCCTTGGAGACAGTGACCCTTGCCCTGCGCGGAAGGCACCCGGGCGCCCTTGGCTCCAGCCGTGCGCCCTGACTCCTGGCTGGGTGGCCTCGCAAGGCTGCAGCCGGCTTCGCGGGCCCGGCGGGTGACTCGGCTTTACGCGGCCCAAGCCCCTCGCCCGGCCCCGAGATGCGGCTCCCACTCCAGTCGGGCGCTTTCCTCTCGGCCCTTAGGGTCGCAGGGACGCCTGGCTGCGCCCCGCCTCAAGTATGGAGCTGGAGAAGTGAAGGGTGGCAGGGACTGGTGCGCTCTCCGCCGCCCAGGCGCGGGCCCGGGGATGTGGAGTTGCAAACAGCAGCTGCCACCGCCCGGCGCTCCTCACCCCACGCTGAGATCAGCCCTCCGCGAGCCGCCTAGCTGTCCCCCGGGTCCAGAGCGCGCACCGAGGTGGCCCCGTCTCGATGCCCCCTCTGAGGCACACACACCCAAGCGCCCCGGGCGCAGAGCCCCGGCGCCCGCCTTCCCGCGGAGATCCCCACGGGAGAGACCAGGGGACAGGGACTGCCAGCCGAGGGAGACTTGTCCTCCTAGGCTCGCGTCGGCAACTCCGGGCGAGCCTGTGCGGGGAGGGGGCGGCGCGGGGGAGGGGCGCGCGGAGGGGAGGGCGGCCGCGGAGGGGCGGGGGTGCTGCGGGTGAAACTCGCGCTCTCCGCTCCTCTGCTCATTGCCTGCGCCTCTCCTTCACGCAGACGCCGGACCTCCCCTGGGCGCCAGCTCCTCGGCTCCGACCCGCGCAGAAACAACCCGGAATTTTTTTTTCCTGGAAATTGGCTTCGGTTCGTGTCGCCCTCCTTCCTCCTCCTCCCAGCAGTTTTTTTTTTTTTTTTTTTTTTTTTTTTTTTTTTGAGACATGGCCCGGGCAGTGGCTTCTGAAAGAGGAACAAGTGTGGGAAAAGCTAGAGGAAACCGGAGCTAAATGACAGGATGCAAGAGACTTGAGACACAAAAAGCGACGCGTTCCTCTCGGATCCAGGCATTGCCCCACTGCTTTCCGCTCCCCGGGACGGACTGAGGGCTCCGCGCTGCGTGCGGAGTTGGGGCGCTGCGGACCCTTCCGATCACCTCTGCGGGGCATTTCCCGCACGCTCCCCGCGCGCCGCGGACGGCGGAGACAGGATGGACGCCCGGCTGCCGCTGCTCTGCGCCGCGCTCGCCCTCGCGCTCGCCGGGGCCGGCGCCTCCCGCAACGGTAAGTGACAGGCTGGGCGCGAGCGGCCGCGCGGTCGGGGCATCCGGCACCCACGGTCCGTCTGGGTTCGCCTCCCGCTAGGGCTCCGGGACTCAGCGCGCCGAGCTGCACGAGGAGCCTGGGACAACCCCGCACCTCCCAGGCCAGGCGAGGGAAACTTTGATCCGGGAGGAGGAATAAAGACAGAAGATCGGTCTGCACTGGGCGGGAGGACTGCAAGTCTTTGCGCTTCCTCGGAAGTGGGCTCTTTGGTTTGTGGGGCTCCCCTGCTTCTACGACGAGGTAGAGCTGCTTACCTCCCCACACCAGCACGCCAATTATCTTAATAATGTTTCCTCCCAAAGGCAATTAGATGAGACTCCCTTTCAAAAATCTGACGGCTGCTGAAAGTTAATGAACACTTCCCCCGGAGAACTTCCTGGTTCTCCTGCAGCTCCCCTAAACTGCTTCCTCCTCAGGGCGCAGGCTGGTCTGGTCGGTGGCTGGAACCCTGTCCCCGCCTTTGTAAATCGTCCCCGCTCCGCCTGGAGTATGAATGAAAGTTCCACGGAGTGAATAAAAGGAATCTGATATATACAATACAAGTCACCAGGATAGCTGAAAATCCCTAACCTAGTTGCAGTTTCCACTTAGCATTTAAAAGGCACTCAGTGTTAAGTGAATGAAAGACTGGGCCGAGGGATAAAGAGTGCCCTGTAATCTAAATAATGTGTTTAAAAATGTGATCTGGTTGTAGGCTTGTTTGACTAGCTCTACAGTAGGGGAAGGCAAGGGCATGAGATTATCTTCACTGTAAGTCTTCAGCCATTATTATTAACTAATGATCAAATATTTACTTTTGTCTGGTTTAGATTTCAATCAAAATAATTAGAAGAGAACACGTACTACTTTCTATAGTATATTGTTTTAATAAGACACCGCAATTTGGAAGGGCTTACACCAAGAGGAATTTAAATCATCTCTTTATGGTGGAAGTTCATTTCTCTAATGTGCTTTTTCCTAATTTAAGCAACAGATTTCCTCCAACAGGTACCAAGCAATATTCTAAAAGATGAGCAAAAAATATTTATGAATGTGAACAGAGCTCAATTTATTAATGGACCTGAGTTGGTGGTATCTTTTTATACGCTGGCAGGGAAGCAAAAACACTCAAAAATTGTGACTGTGGAGTTCAGTTCATTAATGAACCTGAGTCAGTGGCATCTTTCTGTAATCTGGCAGGGAATAAAGTAGCATTCTCCAACTGAAAGAGCTCCAATGCTTAGAGTTTAGAAATGACAGTCATCTACCCTCTGTCCTTCACAACTGCTCGGATGACATCCCCCCGGGGTGCTCACAGGATGGATTGGGAAGCCAGTGAAGAGAGCTTTGGATATTTTTGCTCTGAACTCCACACAGACATACACTTACACACACATGCGCGCGCGCACACACACACACACACACACACACACACACACAATTTCTTAATTTCCCTAGCAGAAATCTGGGGAATGCTGGGAATCTGGGCTCCAGACACGAGCCTGCCTAGCTAAAGCCATGTTACCCTGCTTAAAGTGACCAGAGCCAACCCCTGCCTCAGTAAGTGAGCGGTCCTCTTAAGGCTGTGTCCACCTCCTCCAAGTACCAGTGTCTGCTAAATTAATTCATTAACCTTATTTAGAACTAATGGTCCAGAGTCATTAGAAATTGCTCTTTCTTAATCAGCTGTTAGAGAGATTTAACAGAGCCAGGGAGTCTAGCAGTCCACATTATCTTATTACACTGTCACTTTCTCAGAAGTCACAGATTAAAGAGCTCTGGTGTGGTACCAAGTTCACCTAAATGTCTTCTGAAGTGACTTTGTCGATTGACTGGAAGCAGTGCTGTTTTATTTCACTCTTCTAACAGAGGCCAGATACTGCCATGATGTTTGTACAGAGCTGCAGGAGACTTAATGAGATGGGGTCACTTTTCCAAGTTTTCTGCACATTTAAAATAATGCATAAGTCTCAGCAGAATCACATAACAGAGTCCAGGATGATCATTAGCTGAGATTCTAAATGCCAGTTGCAATATCATTTCTTCTTGGCAAACCTAAAGCCTTTAAAAGCCAATGCAAAGGGAACCAGTGTCTGACTACCCCCAGTCTCAGAAACAAAGTCAGAAAAGAGACATCCAGCAGTTGAAGAAAACAATATAATTTATATTGTCTTCTTTTTAATTTATGGGAAATGACTTCTGTAATGCATGTAGCTTTATGCATTTTTGATGTGCACTTCATCTTTCATTTCCATTTGACCTGGTTTTCCTGTAATAAAATTCTGTAGATTTATAAATTCATGCTGAGAGCAAAGAATGCCATTCTTCTACAGGGAATCTATTAGATGCAATATTAAAATCTATATATACCAGTACTGAATACTTGTGATTGATAGACATATATTTCACAGCTTTCATACCTGTTTCTCTTACGGAGTTTATGCACCAAATTCATATTGCTTAAAATTAAGCACTAATAAATGTGGCAGTATTTCAAGCTGAGGCTCTCCAGTCTGAAATCTATCATAAAAGTGACAGTGGGGATCTATGCTGAACAATAAGCCAGCCCAGTGCACAACTTCAGCGTTTCATCTTTTAAAAATAAATGCTCAGAACTAGTGAGCTCACCTTTCCCAGAATGTGGGAATGTGTTTCACCATATGTGATAC